CGAAATATTTCCGACGTTTATAATGAATGTATAGACATATTGTATTGACTGCTTTTGTCCGCTATTTTGCTGTTTTGAAAAGCGATGAGTGTAAGACGCGTGTCGTGCCTGTCGGCGGAATTCCCAAACAGTCATTAACGCAACCCGTAGCAACGTCTTTGGAAAACTGAGTCGACCGGTAAAAATTTGAGAAAAAGAAATACTGCGATATTATTAAGAAAAGTGTTGCCGTTTTTATTTAGCATATATGCAGCAGTATATAATATTGGCCGCACATTACAATACTGTTTGTCAATGTCAATGAAAATTTATTTTGGTAGTAGCAACAGTAAAAGTTAATTTTTATTGAGGAAAACTTTTCAATTACACATATAAAGTCATTATTATTTTGTGTTTCAACGTGCAACTCAATTACCTTTAAACTCGTTTTCGTTTTATAAAAACATCTGTGGCTGAGACTGAGTGAAACATAAATTGGCTGAAAACGCGATGTCGATGACTCATCAGATACTTGTACTCTGGCACTGAAAATTACCATTACATTTATTACCGCGTAACGAATACAGTATCGAATGTATTAATTTCAGCCTCTAATAGCAGTTTACCGATTGGCAAATCACGGAAGTCGGCTGGTATTTATAAATATACTGTACGTTCCTAACAGGTTCTGTCCTTAAGATTAAAACTGATTTTCGTTCATTAAAAGCATATTTGACTGAGGCTGAGTGAAACATATAAATTGGCTGGAAAACGCGAAGTCGATGACTCATCAGATGCTCAAGCTCTGACACTTATACATTAGCATACCTGATATTCAAACCCATTGTTACTGTTAGTCATTATTATCGCGCATTTTTCATTTGAATAATCGTTTATATTTGTGTAATGTTTGTCTATATAACTATAAATCAGGTCCAATGTTTTTCCATAAACGTTTTCCAATCATCCAGTGGCAGCGCGCGACTGAATGTAATATATTTGAACGGTGGAATTAATAATGTTTGCTAAAATGAAAATCAATGCGCTTTTAGATCTACTACCCAGTAGTCTGTATGACTCAGTCATAGAATGTCTTCATGCAGCTACACGGCAACTACATGAGTAATCTAATTGCATGGTATTTGATAGTAGAACCAGATTACTATAGTCTTGTATAAAAGTATAGAATCAAAATCACTGACCTTTAATTACTCTTTATTAATAGATTTACTACCGCGTGTAAACATATGCTGTTCGCTACAAAACTAGAGATTAGTAAAATCGGAATTATCAGATTGCTAGAATTAAAATCACTGCGCTTTAGCCGGATTCACTACCGCAGGCCTATATCAAATACAATATCGAATATAATTCCGCCATTTTTTCTACATTTAATAGCAGTTTAATTACGATTGGCAAATCACGGAAATCCTATATCTATATCTATAATATAATATATACGTAGCAATAGATTTATGCGGTTATTCCTTACTGAGGCATGATCGTTCTGACGGCAGACGAGGAGGTGGAGTCTGTGTCTATGTAAAGGACATGCTTCCTTTCATTCATCTTAAAGAGATTGGAATTTTCACGAATATGAGTCGCTTTGGTTACTCTTAAAACCTCACCGCTTGCCTCGTGGTTTAAACTCAATTGTATTGGGAATCGTGTACCATCCACCTGGAAGTGACGATAAAGCCCTTCTTTCAGACCTTACCGAATCAATTGATTCTGTCCTTTCCACCAATCCCGGTGCAGGAATTATTTTGGCCGGAGATTTTAACCAATTTAAACATCGCCAGTTATGCAGTTCCTTTAACCTCAAGCAGTTAGTCAAAGACGCGACTAAAGGAAAGAATATTTTAGATAAAATATTTACCAACATTTCTAAATTTTATAATTCTGCCCTGGTAATTTCTCCAATTGGACATTCCGATCATAATTCCATCGTTCTTAAACCTCTTCCAGCTAACTCTTATGGTGGCACAAGGTCTACACGTTTAGTACGAGACTCTCGCCCAACTAATCGTCGAATTGTTAGCGATCATCTGTCGAAAGTTAATTGGTTACCTTTGCACCATATGGAATCTTGTGACGAGCAGTTCCAGTATTTTTCCACCATCGTAGATAATATCATAAACGAACATTTGCCTTGGAAACAAATCAAAATTGATTCTACTGACAAGCCCTGGATTACTTCCGAAATAAAATCTCTCATTTCCAAGAGGCAGACAGCATGGGCGGCTGGCAATAACCTGATGTTCAGATTCTATCGAAACAAAGTCAATGCACTTTGCAAGAAGGCACGACTAAATTATTACAATAAAAGTATCGTAAATGGTGGTCAGCGGTGAAGAATATTGCCGGTCTTCAGTCTTCTAAGAATGTATCTACAATGATGTTCCAAGGTAAATCCTATACTCTGATGCCGATTTAGCGAATTTTCTCAACGACAAGTTCGTTGCTGTAGGGTCCTCCTTACCCAATCTAAACTGGCTCCCCATTCCCAAAAAAGACATTCCAGATGATATCTGCATCTCTGTCGAGGAGACTGAAAAGGCCCTATTATCATCTAAACATCATTCATCTGCTCGTCCCGATGAAATTCCTTCTTGGCTTCTCCGGGAAAACGCTTCAGTGTTGTGTCGACCTTTGTGTTCTATTTTTAATTCATCAGTTCGTGAAGGATTTGTTCCCTCAATATGGAAGGCAGCAAATATTACACCAGTTCAAAAATCTTCGCCTCCTAAAGATGTTGATTCTGACTTCAGGTCAATTTCCCTCACACTAATTATCAGCAAGATTCTTGAATCCTTTCCCTACAAATGGCTACTTGACTCCGTCTCAAAAAAAATTGATTCCTTGCAATTTGGTTCGCTGAAGGGTTCAAGCACTAGTATGGCATTAATCTACATGTTACATAAATGGTTTGAAGCAGCTGACAAACAAGGTAACACTATACGGATTTGTTTACTTGATTTTTCCAAGGCGTTTGATAGATTAGATCATAACATTCTGTTGGAAAAATTGAAAGACATGGAAATTCAACCCGTGTTACTCAACTGGATCGCAAACTTCCTAACAGGCAGACAGCAAAGAACCCGTGTTGGTCAGTTCTTTTCTGAGTGGAAGTTTTTAAACGCCGGCGTCCCACAAGGAACGAAACTTGGCCCGCTATTATTTTTGATCATGATAAATCACTTGGCTGTAGCGGATGAAACTGTTAAATTTGTCGATGATACTAGCCTCTGGGAAATAATATCAAACAATTCCCCTTCCCAGTTACCCGCTAACATCATCAGCTGCTCTGAATGGTCATCAGACAATAATATGAAGTTAAACGTATCAAAGACCAAAGAATTGCGTGTCTGCTTTTCTAAGCTTACTACTTACTTACTGCCCCTATTACCATTCGCGGTCAAAAGGTCGACGTCGTTTCCGAGGCCGAACTATTGGGCGTTGTCCTTTCGGATGACCTCAAATGGAACTGCCATATTGACTATATTTGCAAGAAAGCCGCGAAGCGTTTGTACGGTCTGCGCCTTCTTAAAAGAAATGCTTTACCTTCTCATATTCTGATTTCAACCTATTGTACACATATTCGACCAATTGTCGAATATGCTTGTCAGGTGTGGCATTATGGCCTTCCTCATTACCTGAGTGATCAAGTTGAAAAAATACAAAAAAGGGCATTAAAAATTATTTTCCCTGGAACTATCTATGCTGAATGTTTCTTAAAGCTAACTTGATGACTCTTTACGAACGTAGAACTGTTCTTTGCAAGCGACTTTTTTCGAAGATGTTGGAACCCACTCATAAACTGAATGCCTTAGTACCGCCTAAAAGTCTTCAAACTTATAATCTGAGGTCTTATCCCAACTTATTAGTACCTAGGTGTAGAACTGAACGTTTTTCGAACAGTTTCATTCCTGCTGCGTCTCGTGCTTATAATAACAAGTAAATTTTAGATTATTATCGTTATTTTTATCTAACTTACCTATTTTTACCTGTGAATATAGAATAGATTGAATACTTATGTTCTTATACCCTGTAATTCCAGTTGTTACTGCTAGTTTGGAAATTTATAATAATAATAATAATAATAATATAGAGGTAGTGACTTTCAATTATGTTTATTAATTTATTTCACGGAGCTTAATTATGTTCCGGTTTATTGAAATGTTTAATTACAGGCTTATTTTAGTTTAAAAACAGCATTTTCGAAGAGTTCACAATCCGAGATCGCTCATATCTTTTGAAGACCTATAGTTACAGTTTATAAACTCATGTACCCGCCACTTCTGCACATGCAGTCAAGGTATTCTCAATTTGCCATTACGGCATTAGTAAAACATTTATAATTTGCGGTTTAAATCGGTCAAACTCGACCGAACCTCAACCTAACCTCAACCTAACCGCGACCGAACCTCAACCTAACCTCAACCTCAACCTCAACCTCAACCTCAACCTCAACCTCAACCTCAACCTCAACCTGACCTCAACCTAACCGCAACCTAACCGCGACCTAACCGCGACCTAACCTCAACCTAACCGCGACCTAACCGCGAGCTAACCGCAACCGCACTGTTAGGTTATTTCTGGACAGTACTGTAATGAAAACCAGGCTTTAATATTGAGCGCACAACCCTCTCAATGGCTTGATTTTGCTTGAGTGATAAGGTAATAATAAACTCATTAAAAAATTCTCAGCCAGATCATATATCGACTTCAATTCATACATACATACATACATACTTTATTGTGTTCCCTAAATAGGGATTTTCAACACTGATTTACAAAAAATAAATGTTGTTCTATTTACAAGTTTTAGAATCTAGAATTTAAATTAAGGTAAAAAGGTAAGACATTTGTATAAAGTTTAACAAGGTAAAATTATCTACTTATATATTTGTTCTAGCATGCTTCGCTTCAGTTCGTTTTTGAAAGTTTTTAGGGAGTCTAACTTTTTGTACTTTATGTCCAAATCATTCCAGAGTGTAACGCCTCTATAATGAAAGGACCTTTGACCTGCGGAAGTTTTCTACAATGGTATTTGCAGTGAGTCATGGCTACGTGTATCTCGTTGATGAATGTCAGAACGTTTTGTGAATAAATCGCTCAAATAATGTGGAGCAAGTTCATTGACACATTTGTACATCATAATAGCCTCTCTTAGTAGTAATTGTTCCTTTACTGGGAGCCAGTTAAGTTCGCGTAAGCCCGGCGAAATATGGTCGAACTTTCCAATATTTGTTATTATCCTGCATGCAAAATTTTGTACCAACTGTAGTTTCTTAATGTTGGTAGACGAAGTGTTTGACCAAACCGTTGAACAATAGAACATTTTGTTCATTACAAGTGCCGAGACGATGAGAGTTAAAGCTTCTTTATCGAAACATTTTTTGACTCGGTTTATTTGGCACAGGGAATTCATACATGAGGAAACCAGGTTGGTGATGTGCTGGTCATATGTCAAATAAGAGTCGATTGTCATTCCTAGATCTTTGGCAAAGGAGACGGGGGTAATAGTCTCGTTGAGGAAGTTTATGGTCATATCTACGGGAAGTTGTTGTAGGTTTTGCCGTGTGCCAATCAGCATGTATTTGGTCTTTCCCGGGTTAATAAGCAATTCATTTTCGGAACAACTGTTTGCAATCAAATACAAGTCTTCCTCAAGTTGTTGCTTTAAACAGTCCACGTTAGCCACAGTGAAAGATAGTAATATCTTGGAGTCGTCCACGTACGATTCAAGTTTACTATGGTGGACTGATGAGGGCAGATCGTTAGTATAAATACTAAAAAGTAAAGGTGATAAAATTGCACCCTGTGGTACACCATAAGAAACAGGGAGAGGAGTGGACACAGTTGATCCAATTCTGACTGATTGAGTTCTTCCGGTCAAGTAACTCTCAAACCATTTTACAACGCTTGGAGAAGCCCCGACGTTGCTAAGTTTTGTAAGGAGAAAAGTATGATTTACACTGTCGAAAGCTTTAGATAGATCTATTAGAATCAGTGCAGTAACCAATTTCCCATCCATGGCCTTTAGGATAGTATCTCCGGTCAAAAGATTCAATGTTTCGCATGAATGATGTTTCTTGTTCCCGCTCTGGTGGGTTGACAATTTTTTGTTCTTCATTAGATACGAACCAAATTGATTCAAGGCGACTTTTTCACAAATTTTCGAAAGAAAGGTAAGGAGAGAAAGTGGGCGGTTATTTGATGCTTCCTCGTGGTTTCCATCCTTTAACAAAGGGATAACTTCTGCCTCTTTCCATGCTATAGGGAACGAATATGACGACAGTGAACAGTTAATGATATCGGTGAGGGGCCCAAGAATTACCGGTAGGCTGTGTTTGATGACCCGCATACTCACTTTGTCTTTGCCGGGTGATTTGTTTGACGGCATAGCTAATATGATGTTCCTTATTTCTGAACAAGAGACTGGGGTGAAACTAAATCTATCATTTTCTTCAGGGTAGCTGTTATCTGTGCGATTTACGTCAGAAAGATTCCGAGCTGGATAAACACTAGGATCTTGTATTAGTGTTGAGGCTTTCTTTGCTGCATTCACACCGATGGTGGAAAAGAAATGATTAAACTCTTCGGCCACTAATTTCGGTTCCTTACTGTAGACCACTGACTCCCTTTCCCTATACGCTATATTTTCTTTAATTACCTTCCAAAGTGACCCAGTATTGTTTCTGTGTTGCTGAACTTCCTTCAGTACATATTCTTTCTGTGCATTAACAAGTGCGGTTTTTGTAAAATTGCGGGCCTCTCTGAAATTAAGCCAATCATAATGATCACGTGTTTTCCTGAAAAGACTGTGGAGCTGGTCTCTTTTGATCATGGATGCTTTTATTTCCGGGGTGATAAATGGGCAAGATTTTCCGCGTACTTTTATGGTTTTTACTGGGGCGTGTTTATGCAATGTATTTAAAAATATTTCATTAAAAATGGTTAGTTTTTCATCAACATTGTCCATTCTGAAAATGGAAACAAGACGATCACGGTTGGATGCCAGATCGATCGCGAACAAATCAGGGTTGTATTTATTGTAGCTGCGGGTAGTGATATAGTTTGGTGGAGATTTGTCGGTTTTAAGTTTTAGTGATACATACACAGGGAAATGATCGCTGATACAGGTTTCTATGACGCCGCCGTTGACTACTAGTCTTGGCGAGGATACGAAAATAACGTCGACGAGGGTCTGACTGGATTCAGTAATTCTTGTTGGTGATTTTATTAACTGGTTAAGGTTGAGTTCTTTTGTCGTCTTGATCAAAGACGCTGATCCAGGTGTGGGCTTAAGCATATCGCAGTTTAGGTCTCCAAGAAGAATGATCAACTTTCCCATCGTCAGAGCACGAACATAATTAGGTTTAAAATATTTTTCGAAGCAGTCAAGCGGGTTGTCTGGGGGTCGATAAGAGACACAGACCAACAGTGATTTAGATTTTTTGTGCTGTAATTTGATCCATAATTGATGGAAATTCGTCTCGGAGATATAACTGAGGTCTTTAAGTACAAGAGATTTAATATCTTTTCGTATGTAAGCACATACCCCGCCCCCTTTCTTGTGCAGTCGGTTTAAACGATGTAGCTTATAACCTTCGATTTCTATTTCCTTGTTTGTGACGGAGGTATTTAACCATGTCTCTGATACTGTAAGGACGTCAATTTTGTTAAATTTGGTAAACTTACGTAATTCTAAAAAATGGGCGTTATTTTTCAGAGAGCGGATGTTTAGGGGGACCAGTTTGAGACCTGGAAGGGTACTGAGGCTGTTATCTGACTTTTTTGTTAAATGGGCTGAGGCCGTATCATTAGTGGTTTTCGACGTGAGTGACCACGAGAGTGCGGAAACGTTTGGAGAGGCAGGGTTGGACAAAGGAACACGAACACGATTTCTATTTTGCAAGTTATTGTTAACACTAAAAGAATTATTAATGGTTAGTTGATATGATAGTCTCTGACGTGATGGTCTCTGACGTGAAGTGATTCTAACAGGTATTTTCATCATAATTGTCTGCTGCTGACTCGTCAAACAGGCCACTGAGTGGAGATGGGCCAACCACTCTAGAGAGTGGTGGCGGTGGGCTGTCCGATACGAAGGAATGACACGACAACGTTTTAAAAAAGGATACCGGCTACAATGGTGCCTTCGATTCATGAGGAAAACACAAAGAAAAATCATAAGCGTGTCGTATCTTTATATGGATAGAGATTTCTTCTGATTTACAAAAACTTTAACTTTGATTTTTTCGACACAACATATTTTTTGAAAATTACGTCGCCAATGAACTTAATAAAAGTAATTTAATTAAAACATTCGCGGTGCGTGTTTTATCAGATCTAAAGATACTCGTCTTCGCCTCGTATCTTTATATCTGATAAAACACTGCTGCTCATGTTTTAAATAGTACTTTAAATACGATGGAGGCGCTTTGTGCCGTCAATGCATTGATGTTAATGTTAGAAGACAGGTTGGACGTTCAGTCGGCCAGGTGACAAAGGAAACAAACAGTGCAGTCGTTTTTCTATCATGAACATGCAGCAGCGACCAAACACCGTGAACGTTATTACGTCGTTATTTTATTGTTTTCATTAAACAAACTATTTTATTGCGCATTTTATTGCACTATCCGCATTTTATAATCTTTGTCCCCTATCCGCATTTTATTATTTTTGTCCGCCATCCGCATTTTATTCTTTTTCATCGGTCCGTATCCGCGTTTTCTCCCAACACCGCAGGAGCGTAAATCCTGGGTGTGTGTGTGCGTAATGCAGCAAAATATTAAGAAAATATTACTGAAAAATTGTACAATAAATTTCCGTAAGTTAGGGGAAAATGGTATGTCCAAAAATGGAAACTGTGTGTAAACCTATAGTCGCAATTGCCCCAGCGCTTAAGCTTGTAAAGAGAAATTTGAAAGACTTGCGAGGATATACTCCGGAATAGAACTTCTATGGCTTTGAGATTATCATCATAAAACGTGTATATAGGGGACCATGTATCTGGGGGACTATGCCCGGCCGGACGATTAGACCATCCCTCCTCCCCCCCAACTCGCTCGGGGCTGGCTACGCTCTTGCTTTACAAGTACACATTTACTACATTGCGACAATAAATAATATACCGAGTAACTTAAGCCCCGTTTACACGACAGTCATTTTGGGCACGGCACGCTTGAATTTTGGCACGCGGACCCATTTTTTTGGGCACGGCACTCTTAATTTTTGTCGTGTAAACGCAAAATTAAGGGAGGTAGTCTCGGCCCGCCTAAAAATGGGTCCGCGGACCAAAAACTTGTTACGCACGCGTTTTGTTTCTCACATTGCAAAAATATTGTGTCTGTACAAACAAAATATCGAGGGAAAATGTGGTCAGACGAAGCCATATTTGTATTTGAACTCCGATATATATTATGGTCATGCATATAAAGAAGCTATTCAACTGGTATTCTTGCTACACTCAAGTCAAAGCCCACAGCAAAGCGAAGAGAAAAAGAACTGTATTAAAGCAGTTTAAGCAATTCTGCCGATATATGTGATGGTGAAGATTATATTATTGTTATTATAGGGCGAAGTGCTATCGGTCAACATTCACCATAATCATGCAGTGAGCCTGCAGCGAATCATTGTTGTAGTATAAGTTTTCAACGAAATAAAACAGTATCTAAATATCAGTTTAAGTATTCTGAAATTAGAGAGTTTAAGATCTACGACGCGGCCGGCTCAACGACGCGGTCTGAATTTCAGCTAAAAAATGAACGCTAAGCAATTTCATTACTGTAATAAATGTTTGACGATTTTCAAATAACAATACAAACTGCTAAGTTTGACTAAAGCGATGCAATGTTTGCTGTAATTTCGACTTTAAGTACCACCTCTTGGGTCGCAATAAGCTTTTACGTTGCTTCAAAGACGTGATGATGCTTAGTTTAACGTTCTGCTGAGCATGACAAAGCCGTTGAGAATACCTCTGGGACCAAAAATTATTTACAGTTTTTGTCTTGCATGACAAATTTCTTTCTTTCGCAAGCGCGTCGTTGAGCCGGCCGCGTCGTAGATCTTAAACTCTCTATTAAACTGTTGTCACTGCTTGTCAGCCAGTTTATACGAGATTACTGCATGTTTAGTGTTGTATGTTTTAGTTCGGAAACTTAAGACGCGGTGTTTCTTGTTCGCACGCACTTTCAAAATGGCATCCTAGGCCTATATTTTTATAATATGGCTTTCTTGCTTTATTACAAAGTTGTTTATCCCGATGAAGGTCAATGAAATATCTAGCTTAGAAAATTAAAACACTTTGTTCATATAATGGCTTTTCAGGCACAAACAAGTATTTTGCTAGATTTATATGAGTTTATAAAATTATAGTTGAAAAAATACATGCATCGAAATACACAAACTTTGCATTTTTTACGAAAATGTTAATAATTATCTGGTCTAGCAGAGAAATGGACCGGAAATACTTCAATACAAATTTTCGAAAACTTAAACTACATCAATAAAAATATAGTTTCTGCTTATTTTACCGGGAAAAAGCTGAGAAAATTGGTAAAAATAAAATGTAAATTTAATGCTTGGAATAAAGTTTAATGCACTTTACACTTCGCTACACCAAAAAGTTATAGCTGAATAGATCAGATATGTAACAGTGCCGTTCCCAGTTTAAGTGGGCCGAACCAAAATTTTTTAGAGCAAAAATTTCGTCGTGTAAACGCAACAGGCGGACCAAAAAGCGTGGGTCCGCGTGCCTGTCGTATATAAACGGGGCTTTAGTTTACCGTTTTACATGAAACTCTCCTGTTTTCAGTGGCCGTACCCATGGGCAAACATTACATGATAGGACTTCGTAAACATTCAGGCAATTACGTCCAAGCTAAACATATTTTTAAAGTATCGAACTTTCGAAATATTTCTATTTGCTTTAATTTGGAAATACAAAGATAGTCGCTATCACGCATTTGGTGTTCTTTTTATCAATAATTATATTTAATTTGGTTTTTAAAGATAGACCATTGTAATATACCATAATGGTCTGATTCAATCAGACACATTTGCTATGCTTCATTAGATTCTATTTCTGCATGTGAAGGCAGCCAATCTTCCAAAAATAGAGCTCATGTGAAATGCAGTCTATGCTCAACGATTTTGAATCATCGAGCGATAACTTCTTCACCGTGAACTGCCGGGACAATAGAGATATATCCGAAAACCGCCTCTCAAATGTGCCAATGCGTCGTACCGCCAGTATTTTCGAAGTGAAAACCGTAACCGTCATGTTTCTTATACAGTGAAAGAGTATCGGCCAGGGACGTCGGACCGACGAGGGGCCCGCAGAGGCGTAGCCAGGGCTGGGGCCAGGGGCCCCTGGCAAAAGTTTTGGGGGGCCCTGATAAAATGTATTGTATAAAAAAGGGAATCCTTGATTATATAGCTTCATGCTGTCAATGCAAAAATTCTGTAGAATATATGCTTTGCTGCGCATCGGTGTGAAACCTAAAATCTTGTTCGCCTATTTGCGGCACACAGCTTGAAATACATACCTTTTCTAACCCTAATTATTTCAATATGTATTAAATGAGGGTTAGATGAAGTTTAAACCAATCTGTTCTTTTTACAAGTGAATTTTTAATGCGGGCTCGGCAGTGGCGCCATGGAGACTCGGGGGAGACCCGTCGGAAAATTGTCAATACAGAGTTTGAGCAAGACAACGAAGTACGAAGACGAAGGCGTACTTGCCAATTTTTGCCGTATGCACATTATCTTGCGCATACTGGACGTCACTGGTGGTTGCTCAACGTGTCTTCCCATGTGTCGCTGTTTATAAATACTGACCCTAATTCGTGCCCTGACCCAGAAAAAAACAGCGAGACATGAAACTATATCCCGTCTTTGTCCTTCTGCCTTCGTTCGGAACGAAGTTCACAGTGAATTTTGCCAAAATTTTTGCGAATTTTTCGTTGTGAACGAAGACAGAAGAACGAAGACGAGATATGGATTCATGTCTCGCTGTTTTGTCTTGATCAGGGTAAGGTTTTGGGTCAGCATTTATAAACAGACCTAAACTCAGAATGCATATAAGATAATGTGCAAGACAGGCAAAAATTGTCAACCACGGTCCACGTCGTCGTCGTCCAACTTCGTTATCTTGCTCAAACTCTCTGATGTTGTCGGAATCTTCGTGGTGAAGCATCAGAAAAAGTGATACGCAAATCGGGAAAAGTGCTACGAAAGCAATTGTGATGTTATTGTCCAAAAAATTTTTCTACCGAAAAAGATGTCGACGGGG